TAGAAAACCTGACCTATGAGTCTCAGAGGGGTAGCCATGTTATTCTGTAACTTTAGAAACAACAAGTAGTCCTGTAGCACCTTAGGGTTCGTCTAAACTACATGGCTCCATCGATGGAGCCATGTAGATTAGTTTACTCGGCAAAGGGAAATGAAGCGTCGATTTAAAATAATTGCCGCTTCATTTAAATCAAAATGGCCACTGCGCTGTGTCGATCAGCTGATTGTCGGCACAGCGTGGCAGTCTAGACGGGGATCTGCTAACCCCAGAACCCTTCGTCTAGGGCTTACAGGATCTGCTGACGAAGGGTTCTGGGGTTGGCAGATCCCTGTCTAGACTGCTGCGCTGTGCCGGCAAGCAGCTGATTGGCACAGCGCAGTGGCCATTTTGATTTAAATGAAGCGGCAATTATTTTAAATCGCCGCTTTATTTCCCTTTGCCGAGTAAACTAATCTACATGGCTCCATCGACGGAGCCATGTAGTTTAGACATACCCTAAGGTGCTACAGGAACACCTTCCTAGATATTAGGAAAAAACTTTCTAGCTATACAAGTAGTTAAGTTCTGGAGTAGGCTTCTAAAGGAGGTTGGAATTTCAATTGGCTGTTCTTGTGAAAGTAGTAGAAAACAACCTTGTGTTCCTTAAGTTTTGATGCCAATTAGCTGAGTGGGGTGAAATGGTTGCAATACAGTTCTAGGTACTCAATACCTGAACGTTTTGTTGCTAAATCAAAACTGTTCGGGTGCGTCTAGACTGGCAAGATTTTTGCGCAAAAAACTTGCCAGCTGTCTACACTGGATGCTTGAATTTGCGCAAGAGCACTGACTTTGTAATGTACAAAATCAGTGCTTCTTGCGCAAATACTTTCACGCTCCTGCTCGGGAAAAAGCCCTCTTGCACAAGAAAACTTGTGCAAGAGGGCCAGTGTAGACAGGGAAGAACTGTTTTGCGCAAAAAAGCCCCAATGGCTAAAATGGCGATCAGGGCTTTCTTGTGCAAAATCGCATCTAGACTGGCCACGGATGCTTTTGTGCAAAAGCACTTTTTGCGCAAAAGCATCCGTGCCAATCTAGACGCGCTTTTGCAGAAATACTTTTAACGGAAAAACTTTTCCGTTAAAAGTATTTCCGCAAAATCATTCCAGTCTAGATGCAGCCGTCCTGTTTTCCCAAAATGCTCACAGGAACACTGGGCCATTTTCAGTTCTATCGCCTTAGCATTATTACTTTTTTCTTACTGAAATGTCAGCCATTTTCTAAATGAAAAAGACTCCACATTTCAGAGAATTTGCCTTTGAAATGATGTGTGTAGTTTAGTTTTGCAGTCAAACTGTTTTACAAAATTCTGCAAAATGAAGAGATTTCTGGGAATTTGTGGATCAATTTTAACGTATTCTTCACAAATTGAACAGCTTCATTTGTTAGTCATTTCTCTTTTTTCAGAAATAGCGGTAATAGACTGTTATGCCATTTTTTCACTCCTCAACCATCCTATCCATGGTAAAACAAAAACTGAGAAGTCCTCATTTTCACTTGTTAATATTGCATCTTTGGTGTTTCTATGGTAATTATCTGTAAAATTACACATGGCTTCCACATAGTCATTTTAAAAAATACTTTTCTTGTATTGCTCAAGACTTTTCAATAACATGTTGCTAGGATGTAGGGAATATACCACTAGGATATAGGGAACAATCCTGCATTGGCTTGCTCATCCAGCGCAGCCCTAAGAATATAATAATTACCTTATTGTACTAGATCCAAGGTCCATCTAGCCCAGTATCTTGTCTTCTGACACTGGCCAATGTCAGGTACTTCAAAGAACAGGGCAATTATCAAGTGATCTATGCCACCCAGTCCCAGCATCTGGCAGTCAGAGGCTAAGGGATGCTCAAAAGCATGGAGTTCCATTCCTGACCTTCTTGGCTAATAGCTATTGAAGGACCGAGCCTCCGTGAACTTATCTAATTATGTTTTTACACAAGCCATGTAACTCTTCCCCAACAAGTTATGTTCACCTGTGGATCTGATAATTCTGTTCTTTACTACAATTTCACCCTGTTTGCTTGGTACTGAAGTTAGGCTTACTGTCCCGTAATTGCCAGGATCTCCTTTGGAACCTTTTAGAAAAATTTTACTGCGAGGATCTCCTTTGGAACCTTTTAGAAAAATGGACATCACATTAGCTGTCCTCCAGCCATTGCAGAAGCTGATTTAAGTGACAGTTTACATACCACAGTTAAGTATCAGAGAGGTAGCTATGTTAGTCCAGATCTGCAAAAGTGATGAAGAGTCCTGTGGCACCTTATAAACTAACAGACGTATTAGAGCATAAGCTTTCGTGGGCAAAGACCCACTTCATCAGATGCATGTCGAACCACAGTTAGTAGCTCTGCAGTTTCATATCTGAGTTCCTTCAGAACTTTTGGTATGTAGCATTTGCTCCTGGTGACTTAATAATGCTTAATTTGTTCCAAAACATCCTCTATTGACACTTCAATCTGAGACTGTTCCTCCGATTTGTCATCTGAAAGGAATGGCTCGGATGTGGGAATCCCCCTCACATTCTCGGCAGTGAAACCTGATGCAAAAAATTCATTTAGTTCCTCTGTGATAGCCTTGTCTTTCTTCAGTGTTCCATTGGTGCCTTGATTGTCCAGTGGCCCCACTGATTGTTTGGCAGGCCTCCTTCTCTGATGTACTTGAAAAAAAAATGCTGTTAGGTTTTGAAACTTTTCTTAGTTGTACTTCAGTTTCCTTTTGGCCTGCCTCAATATACGTTTGCAGTGTAAAATTTGCAAGAATGTATGCTCATTTCTATTTTCTTTAGTAGGATTTCACTTCCAGTCAGGAAGGGCGTGGAGGAAGGAGAATTAATTGGCTTGAGGCCTCAAATTTAGACACTTGTTAATTTTTGGCCTAGAAAAGTATTTGTTAAATACAAATATTCAAATTATGTCTCACTCTTGTCTTGGTGCCTTATTTTGTTTTCATGTGTTATCATTCTTTATTTTTACTATGGCTAGGGACCTCTCTGGACCTCTGAGGAGGCCTGCTTCCAATTTTTAATTATTGACATCCACAGATTTTTTTCCCCATTGCAAAAGCCTGTTTAACACATTGGTTCAGTTGTTTCACTGTGAATTAACAGTTGGTTCCTATTAGGGATGTAAAATCCCATTTAATTAGTTAACTGCTTAAATGTTAATTTTAACCAGCTAACTGACTAAACTGAGGTGGGAGGCCATTCCAGCCCCACAGGGCCGTTGCCCCCAGGCCAATCAGTGCCTGAGGGAGAGGGGATGCGCACAAAATTTCCTCCGTCCTGCCCCCACCCTGCAAGGAGCATGTGGAGCTTAGAAGCACCACACACACCTGGCCGGGCAGGAGGAGACTTCATGTGCTCCCCTTCCCCCAAACCCTGATTGGCCTAGGGGCAGAAAGAGGAGCGCGCGAAGTCTCCTCCCACTGCCAGGGGAAGCAGGAAAGTATCCTGGTCCCACACCTTCTGTCTGAGGCTCCGCCCCTTCTGGTGCGGCCCAGAGCCACTTAAAAAATTTCTGAAGTGGCCACCAGTAAAAAATTATTGCCCACCCCTGTTTTAGATCCTACATTTGACTTAGTGCAACATGACATTCTACACTATACACTATTCATTGTATTTGCTCTAGACAAAATCTATGCAGCCTGTATTACATTAAAGTCAATCAACTGATAGATCACAAAAATAACTGTGAATAGGGATATAGTGGAGACCTGCTGGGATCTGTAATTGGCCCAGGACCATTCAATATCTTTATCAATGATCTAAAAGAAAATATAATTATTGTAAAATTGGCAGGTGACACAAAAATTGGTGGAGTAATAAATACTTATGAAGACAGATCAGTTATACAGACCAACCTAAATCATATGGCAAGATATATTATATGAACAAAATGCATTTTAACACCTCCATAGTCTTCACAGATATATTAGTGGAATATGAATATGGCATAACTAAGATATACTTTACGCAAGACCACCAATGGAAAGGTTATGATTTACTGAAAATGATTTCCTGTTTGGATGCATGTAGCATGTTTGTATCTTAAGTAAGGAATATTGATTATCTGTACTTCAACTAAGCTACATTGGGTAACGCTCACTGCTAACACTCAGGTACAATGATGGCAAAGCTAGACAAGGAAAAAATAACGGGTGCTCAGCACTCACTAGGAGCTAAGCTCCCCCTTTGCTACTCTCTCCTTGTGCCTCTTGCCTGTTGAGGGCCCTGCTGACCAACCCCACCCTCTCAGCACTTCTGCACTGTTCTGGAGTATTGCAAACAATTGATTCACAGCATTCAGGAAACTGAAGGAGGGAGGAGGGAGGAGGAGGAGCAGGGATGGGTAAGCAGAGGCTTGGGGTAGGGGAGGAATGAGGCAGGTTGGCGGTGCAGGGGAGAAGAGTTGAGCATCTCCCAGCTATAGGGAAAGTTGGTGCCTATGCTTTCGACAGTATAGTGCGGGACCTGACTTTTCAGCCTTTATTCAGGTTGAGTAGTTCTGTGACTTGTCCTGTTGCATGAGTAGTAAGCATCAACCTTTGCGTAACTTTAAAAAAAGAGTATTTCTGTCTTTAAACTAGTTTTCCCTCCATGCTCTAGACATGCAAGTGAGTTTGTGAAGAGAGGAGCCAACAGGATAGGACGTATTTACAAGAAAGCTGTTTACAAACAGTTCACAGATGCCACCTACACGCAGGAGGTCCCCAAGCCATCCTGGCTGGGGTTCCTGGGGCCAGTCATGAAGGCTCAAGAGGAGGATATCTTTCTTGTTCACTTAAAGAACTTTGCTTCCCGTCCATATTCTCTGCATCCACATGGCCTCTTCTATGACAAAGATTCTGAAGGTAAAAACCAGTTTTCAGCTTCACTCTACACCTGCCCCTTCTGTTCTTTCTTCTCTTGCCTTGTCCTCTTCATTCTCTTTCACTTCTCTTTTCTATTTAGCTGATGTCCTCCTAAGCAACCCTCACCCCACACCAAAAAACCTGTGGCACTAACCTGATTGTTGCCATCATCATATTATTCATCCACTTGTCCCACCCAATTATTTCTCTTGTTTATTTCGGCACTATTGTCTCCTTGTTTCTCTTGTACTCCTCATCTGTCTATATCCAGTTGCTCATTTCTTATGGTTAAATTGCAATCTCTTTGCAGCAGGGACAGTCCTATTGTTCTGTGTTTATATAGTGCCTAGCACAATGATCCATGACTGAGACTTCTAAGTGTTAAACTAATACAAACCTACTATATATTTGAGAGAGTTTATCTATCTGTTTGTCTGTCTGTTTGCTCAAGAATTCAATCTACTTGGTTAAGATCTAGGACCACTGTATTCGGGATATAGCTTCCTTTTATCATAACTTAAGGTAAGGCTTTGGTTGTGCCAGGAAAATAGGTTGTGCCTGGAATGGAATTGTTTCTCATAAAACTATACAGAAAAGAGACAGAATTACCAGAAAAGTTAGGCTTAAGGTTTGGGGCTGACTGGGGGCAGCCTCTCTTCATCTGGGACTGCCCCAGATTCTCAGCTTCCAGGCACCCTTTGGCTGAAGCACCCCTTCTGTCCCCCCGATATGTACAGGTGTACAGGAATATTGGTGGCTGTTCCCCTTCATCAGGGAGTGAGGGAGAAGTTCAGAGTTTGCTGCATATCTCATTCTGGATGGGGAGTGCAATGGGCAGATGAACCTGATCCTGCCCCAAGTGGGGGACATGCACCCCTCCCCCAGCTTTGCCCACTGGAGCTGCAGCAGCCATGGAAAGGCATGTCTCAACTGGCTCCAAGCAGCTATGGTGAGAAAGGGCTGGAGTAGTCTTGTCTCTCAGGGGCAGCCTGCTGCATATTGAACCCCTCATACCCATCCCCATCCCAGAGCAATTATTTAAATCAGGGGTGGGGAACCTCAGGGCCTTCCCCAGCTTTGGTGAGCCCGCGTTGGCACTCTAGCCCCCTCTCCTCTGCCCCACTGTGGGGCTGGAACACACAAAATCTACTAGGCTGGGCTCCCGTAGCTTCTGGTGTGTGAGGGAAATGTGGGGAGTATATATAGATAGATATAGAATGTTTATTTATTTATTTATTTTGCTTCTCACTTGTGTATGGTCCCTGACTGATTTTTCTGTGGGCCAGTGGCCTCCCACCCAAAAAAGGTTCCGTACCCCTGATTTAAATGAAGCAAATATATTTTCATTTTATTTTTCCAAAACCAAAAATTAATTGAGTTAAGGACCCAAGCAATGCCAGGTAAATCTTCTAATAATAAATACATATGTTCTGTTCTTCCTCATTTCTCTTTTTCTATCCCCTTCCTTTTGTGGTGAACAAATTGGATGAGGGCCTGATCCAAGCTGATTGAAGTGAATGGGATTCTTTCCATTGACCTTAACGAACTTTGTATCAGTTCCTAATAAACTGATCAATATCATTAACCATTAACTTTAAAAAGGGACATTCTCATTTCTTATATCTTTCATTTTTAGGAAAATTAGCTTCTTCATGGGTTGTTTGCTTTTTTTAGTAAAAATATAAGACAGTCTAAATTTTCCTCTCTAATCCATATGGGTATGTCTACACTACAAAGTTAGTTCGAACTAACAGATGTTAGTTCGAACTAACTTTCATAGGCGCTACACTAGCGCTCCGTTAGTTCGAATTTAATTCGAACTAACGGAGCGCTTAGTTCGAACTAGGTAATCCTCATTCCACGAGGATTAAGCCTAGTTCGAAATAGCTAGTTCGAATTAAGGGGTGTGTAACCCCTTAATTTGAACTAGTGGGAGGCTAGCCCTCCCCAGGTTTCCCTGGTGGCCACTCTGGCCAACACCAGGGAAACTCGTCTGCCCCCCTCCCGGCCCCGGACCCCTTAAAGGGGCACGGGCTGGCTACGGTGCCCGTGCCAGGTGCAAGCTTGCCAGCACCCAGCCAGCAGACCCTGCACCTGGCACGGCACAGAGCCACCCACCCGATGTCCCCCA